TAATATTTGTGGGGATTTGTATCTTTGGACAAAATTGGGTTGTTGATGTGTTTGGGGGGGGAGTTTAAAACTCCCCCTTTCCACCCACATATTAGAAGGTTTTCTTGTTGCAGAAGGTCAGGTTAAGGGAACATAATGTCGGCAGGCATCAAAGTGCCCATGAACAATTTGTTTGATGACTGCCAGGCTCCATGTCCCATCTATCAATTTTTAAAAAACATATTTTAATTGTTTCTAAAAGTGTGGGAAATTGTGATGCTGCTTGCCCACAGACATTTTTAGTATATAACATCAGAAAGTAGTTGTAGCACCTTGCTTTGTTTGGAAGTATGCACACCACCTAGAAAGAAGACAAAGGTAAGTTTGAAAGGATTGTCTAAAGGAGCTGGTGACAAGGGATAACTTTGCTTATTTTTATGTTGAATGCCCACAAAATGTTTGTAAAATTTACAATAAGCTTAGCAGCTCCAGAAGACTACTAACTCGAATCCACTTTACTAGTCAGTGCACAAATATGGAAATTAAGATGTTTTATCTTTTATGATTTATATTACCAAGTTCTAAATTCTTTCTTTATAAGTTCAACATCACTATACTGTGAAGATTAAGCTGAGAGAGTCATGATACCAAACTATATAATTCAAAAGTATATACAGAATGTCTTGGATTGACAAATCCAAGGGTGTTTTTTTTATGTGTGTGTATTTTTCTGTCAGTGTATCAGAGTGCCTGGTCCAGGGGTGCTATTCAGCAGTTTCTGACAAGTTCTGGAGAACCAGTAGCGGAATTTTTGAGTAGTTCGGAGAACTGGCAAATACCACCTCTGGCTGGCCCCAGAGTGGGATGGGAATGGAGATTTTGCAATATCCTTCCCCCAGGAGTGGGAGGGAATGGGGATTTTGCAGTATCCTTCCCCTGGAGTGGGGTGGGAATGGAGATTTTGCAGTATCCTTCCCCTGCCACACCCACCAAGCCACACCACGCCCACCAAGGCACGCCCACGGAACTGGTAGTAAAAAAAAATTGAATTCCACCACTGGCCTGGTCTCTAGCTATAAAAAAATCTTACTGGGAATTGTCTGGCTAACTTGCACCTGCTACATTGAAAGAGTTTATTTCAAATTTACATTTAAGAAAATAATAAGCATGTTCTGTGTAGTGAGTTTGGGCTAAAATGAGGCCATATACTTACTTTAGAGAAAAAATTAATTCTTGGGCTATGATGAGATCTGAATTATTTATTTAAAAAGGCCTCCACATTTATCTGTAACATTTGGCACATGTAGAGCATTGGAAAAGTCTCTGTAGAGTTGGCCTCAGATACAGTTTTGTATAATCTGCCTAGCCACTTTCTGGAGCATGTAAGTGAAACACTGTGTATCGCTTGTAACTTTAATTACAGTAGTGCTAAAAACACACATGGAGCAGGAAAACAAGGGCACACCTTATTTTAACAGAATTCAAGGATGTGGAGCCCCCCCTCCCCCTTAAAAGGAAAAATAAATATTTTGCCTGGACAAATTGATTTAAGTGACAGCCCAATGTAGCAATTGGCAAAATAGTATTGTTTGTGTTGTGTTCATGTGGCGCTCCATCTGTGTTGGAAGAATTCATGTCAATTATTTAACAAATGTTTTGGTTGGAACTAAATGTATTATGCTATGAATCCTGATGAAGCTTCCAAGAATCTTTTTGTCATCACACAGAATTAAAACGGTATTCATATGAGCCATCCGGTTTTTGCTAGGGACAGGTGTTTTAACTTGGAGTCTTAATGAGATTTTCTTGCAACATAGAAAATGCCACTGATGTTTGCAAATACAGTATAATGATCTCTTCCAATCTACTGACTATATATGCACCTGGGAGTTAAAGTCCAATAGGTTTTTGCTGATAACCTCTCTTCTTTTCTGAGGAATGCATTCTTTAATGCTGTCTTTTAACCATAAAGATTACAATACTTTCCTTCAAAATAATTTGGGGTTGTTTCTTAGAGGTAACAGGAAGGGCCAGCTTGGTGTAGGCAGGGCCTCATTGTACTCCTCCCTGGTGTTGGTTGCCCAATCAACTTCCGGGATAAGACACATTTCTGTCAGGTATCCTACTAGTCATTTGATAGTGCTTTGGAATTTAAGCAGAAGAGTATCTTTCCTAGGCAATCTGTCTAGGATGCTTAGGTGGAAAGTTTTCAACACAAGAAAATGTGAGACACTACAAATGTATTTAACAACTTGCCTCATAAATGTCATGTTACATGTTTTGCTCTAGAAATGTTCTTTGATCTAAAGCCAAACACTTAAGAAAGGATTGTTTAGGGTTTAATCTTATTCCTTGATGATAAGATATCAGGGTGTGACCCCAGAAAAACTAGTTTGGAATTCAAAAGATCATTATAGGGTGATCTGTGTTTTGCAGATCTTCATATAATCACTGAAATGTGATGGCCATTGCTAAACGCAAGAGTGTGTTTATTTGCAGTTAACACAGATGCTCTGCCGTTCAATAATATATGGAGAGAATACTAACCCTAACCCATCTTCTGAGGATTGTCATGCATGGTCTCAGTATCCATGTATGAAAGGGGAAAGGAAAAGACATTCTTTGGCCTCAGAAAGGAAAACTAAATGCAATTGAGTGTATGATCTTTCAGATATACACATAGATATACACAGGTCACTCTGAAAGCAGAAAAAAGAGAAGATATTTGAGGAAAATGGGCAGATACTTAGAATAGAATAGAATAACAGAGTTGAGACCTTCTAGTCTAACTCCCTGCTTAGGCAGGAAACCCTACACCACTAGACAAATAGTTATCCAATCTCTTCTTTAAAATGTCCAATGTTGGAGCATTCACAACCTCTGGAGGCAAGTCGTTCCACTGATTAATTGTTCTGTCAGGAAATTTCTCCTTAGTTCTAAGTTGCTTCTCTCCTTGATTAGTTTCCACCCATTGCTTCTTGTCCTGCCCTCAGGTGCTTTGGAGAATAGCTTGACTCCCTCTTCTTCGTGGCAGCCCCTGAGAGATTGGAACATTGCTATCATGTCTCCCCTAGTCCTTCTTTTCATTAAACTAGACATACTCAGTTCTTGTAACTGTTCTTCATATGTTTTAGCCTCCAGTCCCCTAGTAATCTTTGTTGCTCGTCTCTGCATTCTTTCTAGAGTCTCAACATCTTTTTTACATTGTGGCAACCAAAACTGGATGCAGTAATCCAAGTGTGGCCTTTCCAAGGCATTATAAAGTGGTATTAACACTTCACGTGATCTTGATTCTATCCCTCTATGTCTGCTTTTTTTGGCAGCTGCAGCACACTGCTGGTTCATATTTAAATGATTGTCCACTAGGATTCCAAGATCCCTCTCACAGTTACTACCAGTACTATTGAGCAAGGTACCACATATACTGTACCTGTGCATTTTGTTTTTCTTGCCTTACTTTTTTCACATTGAATTTTATTTTGTTAGATAATGCCCAATGTTTAAGTCTGTCAAGATCCTTCTGTATCTTAAGCCTATCTTCTGGCGTTTTGGCTATTTCTGCTAGCTTGGTGTCGTTTGTAAATTTGATGAGTTCCCCTCATCCAAATCATTGAAGATGTTGAAGAGTACTGGGCCTAAAACACCCTTGGGGTACCCCACTGCATACTTCCTTCCATGTAGATGCGCAGTTCCATTGAAGACTACACATTGAGTGCGGTTGGTCAGCCAGTTATGAATCCATCTGGTGGTGATAATGTCTAACCCACATTTTTCTATTTTATCAAGTAGTACGTTATGGTCTACTTTATCATATGCCTTACTGAAGTCCAAGTAAATTATATTGACAGCATTCCTCTGGTCCGCTAATTTTGTCACTTTATCAAAGAATGCAATAAGATTACTTGTCCCCATTCTTTGGATTGATGTTTTCAGGAAGATGTTTGCAATCTATTTTTCTATGCAGTTGGATTAGGAAATGCTGGCTTAGATGGGAGGAATTGGTCCAGTTCTACTACAGTACTTTGATCCATTCTAGCACCAAATTCTGGAATTCTGAGTCATTCTGCTGGTGACACCACACTGAAATTATTAAACCCTGCATTGGGGATATGGGATGTGCAACCCGCCGGCCTTTAAAGCGTTGCTGAGGTTCTGCACTAGATTGGGATGGACATCGTTCCTTTCTTTTTGGGGGGGGGGGGAAGCACCCCGCGCGCTGGGACCCATCGGCTCGAACCGTAGCGGGCCAAGCCAGAGGCGCGTAGCTCCACCTAGTGGTTATGCCGTGAACAGCCACGTCTAATGCGGTTTTGTTTTTGTTTTTTGCACCTACACTGTCTAGGTGATGGGTGGTGATGGGAATTGAGGTTGCGACGTTTGTTGTAGAATAACATTTGCAGTTGCGCCCAGGCTAAGCGGCGTCTTAGAAAAGCCACCAGCGCTTGACGTATCACCGGCCATAACGTTCCGCCACCTGCAGAAGCTCAGCAGATGCAGGGAAACGTCTCTGCGACCCACAGGTGGGGCACAAGACAAACTGCGGCGTCTCCAGCCTGGAAAAGGATACCCACCCCGATGGAAGCGGTTAGCACAGAGGTCTTCAAACTTGGCCGCTTTAAGACTTGTGGACTTCAAATCCCAGAATTTGGGATTCTGGGAGTTGAAGTCCACAAGTCTTAAAGCGGCCAAGTTTGGAGACCTCTGGCGTTAGCAAATTGTGGCCCATGTTTCATCTGCATCCGTGGACTGAATTGGTGTTGGCATGGCGATTTTTTTTAAACCTCTCAACGTTTTCAAAATCCTTTCAGAGGCACGAAAATTAGGATGAATTAGACGATTCTACTGGAGGCGAGGGACGGCTGGCTGGCTGGCTGGATCCGCCGCTGCCCAATCAGAACTCTGTTAGAATCTAAAATGACCACCCCTCTTCGGAAGAAGAAGAAGAAGAAGAAGAAAAAAAAAGCAGTCCCTTTGGCCGCTTAACGAGGTGGGGGGCGGCGGAGGAGGGGGGAAGCCATTGAAAGTCCCTCTCGCTCGACCACCGGGTGACTATCTACCAATCGCAAAGTCTGTGGTTTGTGGTCCGCCGCCACTTCGCTCCTCGCCCGTCGAAAGGCGAGCGACGCTCTAGGCTGCCTTGTGTTGCTCCTCGCTGCTCCCGGCGGTCTCCGACCCGGGCTGGACTTGGGCAAAGGGACGCGGCGGCGGCGGCTTCCGTCATTTCTGTCCCGCGCCGCGCCTGGACGGTGCCGCAAGTATTGACCTCTCAGGCTTCCCCCTATCCAAGCCCGCGCCGTCTTCCTAAGTCACGGCGGCCAGTTTATCTCTTATCCTGACGGTGCTTTAAGCCGTCCTCCGGCCTCCTCCTCCTCCTCCTGGCTGTCTCCCCGTGGCGCCGGCGCTTGCAAGCGCAACCCGCTCCCACCCTTTTCCCCGGCCAAGGACGGCGCTTTTCTCCCAGTCCCTTTGCACCCTCGTATTTATTGCCGTTGTCGTTCGCTTGTTACCCATCCGATTCCTCAGCAGTTTCGTCCCCTTCCTATTGTATAACTTGAAAATTGTTTTCTTGTATTTTAATCTGCAAAACCCCTCCCGGGTGGTGGTGGAGGGGAGAGCAATTAAAGTCGCGATTTTCCTTTTCTGGCAATAGTTTTGCAGAAGTAGTAGCCGTTTGAATCTATTGCAAGGGGTTTTGGTGGCACTAAAGACTAAAATTATTTATTCGGATATTATTACCTTCATTAGGTAGCCGTGACTACCAGATGACAGTGCTGTCACACACCTTTTTGGCAAATCTAATTTTGTTCATGTGTCAGTAAGCGAACATAATTTGTATGCTTTATGATTAGCTTTAATTCTCTGTAGGCTTCTTGTCTTCCGAATAGTAGTAAATGCCTTAAGAATCATACTGTACAGAACTGCAGTGTAGCCCTTTTTGTGTGTGAGAGCTTTACTTGGTCCAAACAGATGCTTAATTAGAATATTTTGCATTTTCTTCATTTGTCGCTTATAGAAAATTGGTGGATTTGTTCATGTTTTATGTAGTGTTTGTATCTTTGCCTTAAGTGTAGGGTTTTGCTGGCCAGTAATAGAGGTGTAGAAAGAATAGGAATATATTAGAACTGAGCATCTTTTCTGAACCTAATATTTTTCAACCATTTTGAGCATGATGTAGTCCCTAACATCTTGGTTTTAACCACAGTGAATGAAAATTATGTTATTTATTTATTATTTATTATTTATTATTGCGATTTATATGCCACCTTTCTCCCTGGGGACTCAAGGCGGCTTACAAAATGACAATTTCCAATACAAATCACAATGAAATAAAAATTAAAATCAGCAACCCTATTAAAACAATTTAAAATTATAACAGTGTACCCCCAAACGGATCAGTTAAGTTGACGGAAGATCCACGTCTTCAGCTCGCGACGGAAGGAAAGAAGGTCGGGGGCTGTCCTCGGTGGGCAATCCATTCCAGAGGGTCGGGGCTCCCACAGAGAACGCTCTCCTCCTGGGGGCCGTCAGCCGACATTGTTTGGCCGACGGTACCCTGAGGAGGCCCACTCTGTGAGAGCGCACAGGACGATGGGAGAGCGGCTGGAGATGGTCCTGCAAGTACCCCGGGCCTAAGCCATGTTAGACCAACAATATATGAAATTATTTGCTGCCAGATAGAAAAATGAAGATGTCCTAAGTGAAATTGCTTCAGTTTTAGGTATGTAATAATATAGATTATAATGGAGGGTGCTGATGTTGGATAGCATGTTTCAGAAGAGTCTTCCTAATACCTGGATTAAAGGGCTATACAGGGATCCATGAGCTCGCAGAAAACTATACCACAATAAAATTGGCTTTCCTCTGTGGCCTATCTTACCCTGCTACAGGCAAGATAGCAACAAATGCTGCTGTTCTTAATGTGAGCTTGGTGCAGATTTAGCCATCTGGCAGAATTTGCTGTGGTTTTGCACAGGTGTTTTGTGGAGGGAGTCTGGCTATCAGCTGATGTCAGTTGGTAAATGGACTCATTTGAGGCATTGGTTTAGTGCTATTCCAGAAGAGCACTGAACTTGTGCTCAAAAGCTGATTAGACAGTAACAGACAAAGCATGGGGAAAGTTGCTCTTTTTCTCTTGCTTTACTGACAGTCACCACTACTGTCAGCTCAGAGATCTGTCAAGTATAAGAGAAGAGTCTGATTGTAAAGAACCAGACTCTCCTGCCCAAAGTGGATTGGAGGACAATGCCCAGGGCTATATTTGTACTACTTTCAATGGGCCAGTTGGGTCAGTCTAATCTACTGCCTCCCCAAGGGATTACCTGAGTGTACCAGTTGTATCTTCAACAAAACCTACAGTATGTTGGGATAAAGAGGAAACTATTTTAATACAAGTTAAGGACAACTCGGCTGCTTCAGGTTTAGAAACCAGATAAAGGCAATGCCAGATAAAGGTTTTTGAAAAATGTTTATGATAGTTTGATGCAAATGAAGAACAACTCTTAAAAGACAATGTTTATTAAATATTAGTAAGCAATAGTAAGGTTTTCTAAATTGAAGGACAGATAATGCTAGCTCTCTGGAAACAAAAGTTTGCAAATAATGTCTAATGTTATAAATACTGTATGTTTCCACCTTTATATTTTGAATGACTTCTTCCTTTTCCTATATCAGCTATGATTTTGCACTGGTATCTGTACTGTCTTAGTTCCAGTAATATCATAGTTTGAAATTTCTGTACAAACAATAGTTAAGAGAACTTGTGCTTTTGCTTTGTTTGATAAATGACCATAATTAAATGCATGTAAGGAAAAGAAGAAATTGTTCTGAAATGAATGTTTCTGATTTGCGAACAGTTGTTTGCAGTCTGCAGTGGTTTGCAGTACGGTAATTCTTATTGTATTGGGTTGAAGTGTTTGAAGGCAAAAACAATCAATATCTGTGGTGTATCCTCAGAACAAAAATTCATCAGTGTTGGATAAATGTTTTGTAATCTTCTGCTTGAGGCCTGTTTGCTTATGTTATTCAGCCTTTTCCCCTAATCCATACCTTCACTATGCATTATTGCTCATACAAAGCAGCAAGTTAAAATCCATGGAATGCATAGTATATGTATATTGAAATCATAATATGGATTTCATCAGTCTTGACTGTTTTTTTGCCTGCTCATTTGTTGTAGTCATATTTATTGCTTCATGCAAGAAACATGCTCAAAATAATGATAAACATTATCATTGGGAACAGTTGTAATTTATTTTAGAATTGATTGAGTCTTGATGCTCCTTACAGAAATAATACATTGCATTTATTTTAATTTAATTTAGAATGGGCTTTCAGCTTTGGGGCAAGCTATTCTTTAATTGTATATCAGGGAATCAGGAATTGTATCATGAAGGAGAGACTTCCTGTTGCCTAGGTTAATAGTTATTGCTTCATTGGTACAGTTGCAGTTTTCTTCTATACTGTTTTTGTGAGAAGAAACAGCAGACCCACTTTAGGAAATTTAGTGGTAGTACACATTTTGTGTAGAAGCACCTTAAAAGCTTAAATAAAAGTTCATTTGAATAGCTCTTGATTATCTTTTATGGTTATTTTGCAGCAGCATAATGTTTATAGAAATGAATGAGATATTCCTATTCAGAAAAATTGCTAATACATTGAAATGACTTTCGTATGTAGGATTCTTTTTTCATTCTGCATTAACAATGAACAAAGTTTGTTTTGTATAGGTTATGCCTGTAAAACTATATTAGGGTGCAACTGCAAGTTTTCCCCCCTGTAAATTATTGTTTGTTGATTAATTGCAGAATGTTTGGCACTCCAGGTCTGCAGAAACTAAGTGTGATTTACAGCCAAGCTGGAAACAGCCAGCAAAACAGCCAAATACAACATGGAAGACAGGTGAACTTCCTGAGAACTGAAGTATGTTAGATTTCTAATAACTTTTTGATTAATTAAAATGGTTAAATTAATCTTTGTGCAGGAGAAGTAGGATTTTTCATTCACTGCCAGGGAGAGAAACAGTTTACTCTAGGAATATCTGGAATTCAGAATGTTTTAAAACAATGATAGTTGATAAATAGCTAAAGGACTATTTAGCTCTTAAAGATAGTCTCTAGTAATCCCCTCATTTAACTTTTTACAAGCTCAATACAACTCCATTGTTCATTAGTTTTATTACCAAATCCTATAACAATCTGGGAAGTGGACATTTTCTATCTCTCAAATATAATCAATATCCTTTTAAAACAGATGTTGTCAAAATTCCTGTCTTGGGCAATCATTTTCTGCACCAATTTCTCTGAAGGAATCCGTGCACTGATTCCTTGGATGTGTTACAAGACAAACAATTTCAGAAATGCCTGTTTAAGCCCTCACATTTAAATTCATGTGCAATGAGTGCATGTCTTAAACATCTGGATCTCCCTTTTGGACACCAACGTATACAGTACTAGTAAGCAAGATGCCTTTCAATGATGGTTGTCATTAACTTGTTTTCTCACTAAGTAACAGAGGAGTACCCACAGTTCTCCAAAATAGAAAACTTATTTATTTTAAGTTAAGAAACCTTTATTGTCCAGCATAGGGATATATAAATTATTAACATTGTTTCTTTGTTGATGAATTATGTTAACTTTTTTTTACTTTTCTTATTTTGTAAAATGGAGTACCAAATTATCCTAGAAGGCTGTAAAATAATATTTTAATTAAACTTTTATAAATTGAAGCTTTTATTTTAAAGTAAATTTCTAATTCTCCTTGCGACATAGATGAACAAAAAACTTTCTGCTATATTTCTGTCAGAGAGTAAAGAAGTTTAAAATGATTTGTTCATAATACTTGACCTATATGAGTACAAAAAGACTGTCAAATACAGGTCGATAATTTGGGGGGCTTCAAGTGTTTTTATTTTTCTCTCTTCTTCATAGGTGAAAGTAGACATAGTTTCTATGAAACCATAAATGACTTCTTGGCATCTTGATTGCCATGACACCCAGCACAGGATTATGTGAAGAATGTGGGAATCCTCCCCTTAAAAAACTGCTGTCAGCCATGGCTAGGTAAGGTTTAAGCAGGAGTATGATGCTTTGTCTGAAATCCTGTCCTTATGGGATGATAAAAAATGTTTTTTGTTTGTAATTCTAATACAGCAGACAATAGTTGTTCCATATTGTGGGTTTTTAATAGTGTGGATTTGAAGATACTGGTCTTACCATGTTTCCACAGTGCTGCCTGAAAATGATCTAATATCATTTTGAAAATTATTACACTTGTTGATTGGTCTGGGATCATAAATAAATAAATCAAGTCACTGTGTTATACTTGTAACATCAAGTAACTCTCTGTACTCTTGGCACAGGACACTCTCGCACTGGAGCACAAATACTACTTTAAAAAGTTGCTGACAGATGATACATGATTGCTTCCATGCACCTATTTCCTATCAGATCTGAAGTACTGCACAAATGTATGGTGTAGACCTTTGACTTTTTTCTCCATCTGCCACTGAGTTTCTGAAACATTGAAAATACTTTGTCAGAAAGATGCAGTTTACACTTTGGTCTTCAGCATTCTGGTTTTCCTTAAGTTCCAGGGTTTGCCTATTGTTTTGACACCATGGGAACGTGCTGCAGTGGCCCATGCCGAGACAGGGTTCCAGATAACCACCCTACCAAGTTTAAGGTAAGTTATATGTTTTTTGTCTTTTATTATTCAGGGAATCTTAGATAGCATTCCCAAAGTAGAAGCACAACGATTAATAAATGCATTCTTAGTATTTACTATATGCTAAGGCTAAGAAAACATTCCTTATGTCACCAGAGGGAGCAATTTCCTGAATAGCTGAGGCCTTCTTGTTGATGGACTAGCACTGACTCTAGGTATACCTGCCTGAAATATTTTTCTGGTAAGGAAGCACTTCTGTTATGCAATGTTTCTCAATCTCTTGGCATTTTAAGATGTGTGGACTTCCACTCTGAGTCCACTGGCTGGGCAATTCTGGGAGCTGATGTCCACACATATTAAAATTGCCAAGGCTGAATATCATTGCTCCAAAGCATTTCACCACTGAAAAAAAATGACTGCCTCATGGAGATGTGGTTGGGCTGGTGTACCTTCCTGAATAAACCGCACTACTAGTTTATAACTCCACTGTGTCTATTTATATGGTGTTTAGTATTTATACTAGTAGCTCCTAACAGCTGGCTTTGGTTTCTACAGGTGACAAATGTTGATGATGAGGGCAATGAGCTGGGCTCAGGGATTATGGAATTGACACAGAGGGAGCTTGTTTTGCACACTCATAAACGTGATGCTGTTCGGTGGCCATACCTTTGCTTGCGTCGTTATGGCTATGATTCCAACCTCTTCTCCTTTGAAAGTGGACGTCGCTGCCTGACTGGACAAGGTATGTAAATTTCTCCCCAAGTAGCAGGACAGCTGTTAACTTGGGATAACATCTAATTTCTCTCCTCATAGGAGATTCAGAAATAGAAACAATATTCTAATATGACACTTAAGGAAATTCACATTTTTGTTTTCAGATAAATATTGGTGAGAGAACACTTTAAAAGCCTTATTTAGTTTAGTATTCTGCTTCATAAAGGCCAACCATATATTAATGGAAATTCTAAATATCTTGTATTCAGGTTTCTAGCGCCTCTCACATTAACAGCATTGAAGGAATGTTCTGGCCAATAGTCTGATAGTTTTTAAAATCCATATTATTTTGTCAACGGTGAGATGTGCAAGGTTGGGGATAACTTTGAGATAATTTAAATCTTTGTTACATTAAGAATAGTTAGACTATATTAAGAATAGTAACATTTTTTAAAAAACAAGTATATCTAATCCAGATTAAAATTCCAATCTAAATCTAGCAGGGTTGGAATTAAAGCACTATCTAGACCTCAGTATAACAAGATAATTTTACATTTTCTTGTTTGTTATTAAATTTAGGTACTGCTGCATCTTGTGGAACGATGTAGCATCAACTTTCTCTTACAACATTTTAATGCCACTTTTGCATTATCTATGCTATGCATCATTTCACATGTGTAGATAATCCTCAAGTTAAGATGGCAGTTAGGACCAGAATTTATTTCGCTAGAGATACAGTTGTAAAGCTCAAGCTCTAAGTAATGGAGCTGTAAAGTGTGGCCCCATTGCTTTGCAATGGCAGTTCTAGCACTCCCTATTGTCATTGTTAACAACCACTTGTTAGCCAAGGGCCTACCCCAATCCAAGCCATTCCCAGCTTGGTCCCTCCCAGCTCCAACCTTTTGTTCTTCCAATCAAGGAATGCATCATTCCTCAACTCTGGCCTTGCCGCGGAGCCACTGCCTGCTCGCCCTTTGCCACGCGGCTCCGCCCACCCGCCCCATTCCCCGGAGTCAGGGAGTGGTGCATTCCCCGATTCCTACTGCTCACCTTTCTCCCGCGGCTGGCTGTCAGGGAAGACAAGCGCCCAAAAGGTACCAGAGTCGCTCACTCTCCTCCTTGAATGAGCCGCTCTGGTCCACGCACCAGCTGCGCAAGCGCACACCCAACCTGCTGCTGAATTAAATAAACGGTGTGCGCTTGTGCAGCTGGCGCGTGGACCAGAGTGGCTCATTCAAGAAGGAGAGTGAGCGACTCCGGTACCTTTCGGGCGCTTGCCTTCCCTGACAGCCAGCCGCGGGAGAAAGGTGAGCAATAGGAGTCCGGGGAATGGTGCATTCCCTGAGTCTGGGGAATGGGGAGGGTGGCGGGTGGGCGGAGCCTCCAGCTGCCATTGCTACCGGTTCTCCGAACCACCGGCTATCATCGCTACCTATTCGCCCGAGCCGGTCTGAACCAGGAGCATTTCACCCCTGGTGTGACTGCAGGGATGCTGCCACAGCCATAATTTCAGGAACCAGGCATAAATACCATTTGTTCAGCGCCACTGTAATGCCATGGTTGTTGAACATATGGTCATAAGTTGAGGACTACCTATAATGTGGGTTTTTTTGTTTGTTTTTGTTTTAATTTATATGCCGCCCTCTCCGGAGTCTCAGGGCGGCTTACAATGCGTTAAGCAATATTTTGACTTTGGTAGGAATGTACCTAGCTGGCTGCCTATTTACAACCCATGGTTTGTTCACCACTGGCATTAGTTTGTGCCAGCGGTGTAATCTTTATGCTAGAGATGAAATAGTAAAAAAATCCAAAAGGCCTTGAATCAAAGCAGTGTGGATAAAAAAGGCAGGTTTGATATTCAGTGGTTGAGATTCATTATTTCCCTTGCATTATATGAATGTTCTCTGATTCTTTTCACATTCCTTTCTCTCATGGTTGGATTTTAAAGCTTATTTCACTTGAATGATCATTCTTAATATCAGGAAGATAAGACAGAAAATGTGTAGGATCTATTGACGTGTGTGTGTGTGTGTGTGTGTCTTAGAATATTTTTATTCAGAATTGCAGCTGTTGTTGCCATGTTCTTGTCCTTGTTGCTATGGATTTTTGGTTCATGCCTGTGCATGCCGGCATCTGATTGGTTAGTTCAGAATAGAGAGTCAATTGATAAAAGTATTTATGGGTAGTGGGCAGGTGTTGCAGTTTAATACAAACGCGAGTTACTATGCTTCGCAGACATGTACCAGTACAATCCTGTTAATCACTGGTGATTTGCAAAAAACGGTCTAACCTCAACATTGAGCTGGCAAATTTAAATGGAAACAGCTTGTTAGATTCTTTGTGCAGGCTCATGCTGTTGCAGGCTTACTTTGCCCAAATAAGGTACAGATAATGTTTTGCTCAAATTTTTCATGGGCAGCACAGTTGAAAATTTACCAAGTAATACTAGTAACAATAATATTAACTTCGTGCTTTTTCTTTTTCCTTTCCTATTCTGTTTCTTACTTTCACTGGAATATGGATTTAAATGTACTATTTCATGGTCAGCAGTTCTGACCAGAACAAGTTATGTTTTGACACTCTTTATTTATACCACCTGGGTATGTTGAAATGCATTCAAATTATAGAACACTTTAATTCTTGGCCAGAATGTTGCACAAATGAAATCATAATTCCATTTTATGTATAACCTAGTGGCTGAGGATAGCTGCCTGACTGAGAGACTTGTTTGATAACCAGATATCTGTGTTTTGATTTTGAAGTCCTAAATAGTTTGAGCTCAGGGTGCTTCACAGATCAGTTTCTTCTCCCCAGCTTCTTGCAAATGGTGGGCTTGAAATTTCAGTAGTGCTGAAGCTCTTCTCTAAAGAAGCAATCTCTTTCTATAAGTGTATCATGAAAATGTCATATTCGGATTCATTTTTTTGCTGCTTCCCTTATTAGTAATTTTATTAGTGTAACTAATTATACAAATAATATTGTATAATATTTATAATTTTGAAGACTTGTCTTCATGTCCAAAGATACAAATTAAGTTGGCAAGTAGTCAACATATTTCTAAGAGTCTCCTAAATTAAATTGTAATCTCAGGACCAGACCTTTAGTTTCAGTGTGCATTAATCACATGTTACATCTTAATCCTATCTTTTCGATTTGTCCAAATGTCTATGCAGTCATATTGCTTTCATTGTATTTAGTAATCTGCTAATGTTTGGAATAGAAGTATATGGCTGGAGTAATGGTGCATTTTGTTAGCACCGCTTTATGTTTTTTTGATATGCATTTCTTGTTTTAGATAGTGTGAACATGCTAGCATTAAAATAGACTTTCTCTTCTTCGCCTAGGAATTTTTGCATTCAAGTGCTCAAGAGCTGAAGAGATATTTAATCTGCTGCAGGATCTGATGCAGTGTAATAGTATCAGTGTGGTGGAGGAACCTGTTGTCATTACAAGAAATGCAGCTGAACTGGAACTATCCCGGACTCCTCAGACACCCGATAGTGAGACCCTCTTACAAACTGGAAGAGATAGGGGAATGAGGCCTATGTTAACTTTTACTCTAGACCACAGGTGTCAAACTCAAGGCCCACAGGCTGTATCCGGCCTGTGATGTGGTCAGATCCGGCCCATGGGGCCATCCTGGAAAATGTAAGGGGCTGGCCTGTGTCTCTTTGGCCCAGACTACCCAGTGCAAAGAGGAAACATGTCAGCAGTTTGGGGAGTGGCGTCAAAACTGGCCACACCCACCCAGTCAGCCATGCCCCCCAGCCCCCCGAGGTCAACCACAGCCCTGAAGTGGCCCTCAATGAAATTGAGTTTGACACCCCTGCTCTAGACAATTACTTCTTGGTGTCTCAAAGGTTCTTTTTTCTTCAAAAGACAACTGGACTGTTTTTTCCTTGTGGAAGAAGAGAAACCTTTTGCTTTTCATTCAAGAAGCTTCATCAGTTCTGATGGCGGGGGGATGGAAGGATAGGTTCTGATAGGATGGTGGAGGATGGAAGGATTGTATTTCTTTGCAGTCATCTGGTCTTTAGCACTCTCTGAGAGCTGTTGGGGCCACTTGGGAATTTATGTGTGCCCTCAGGGTCACCTGAATCAGGGTACAATTGGCTGTGGAACCTTCTATCCCCCTGCCATCAGAACTGATGAAGCTTCTTGGATGAGAAGCAAACATCTTCCTCAAGGAAAAAACAGTCCAGTTGTCTTTTGAAGAAAAACACGTCTTTGAGATAATTATGACCTGGATGACTGAGAATCTCCACAGACATTTCTTCTTGGTTAGAATATTTTGTTTTGATAGGAATTTGGATATTTGTATGGGGTGAAACCGTTCTTTAAGCATGTGCCAAACATTTACACCCTACTTTATATAAAATGTTATAGGGATTTGGCCCTGTTTTGAGTCAGTGTTGAGTTGCTCATTCTTTCTATTGCCAATTCACAGTTGAAGCCATAATGTCAATCCACTTTTATAATGCAGTTGTAATATGTTTATAGTATTGGGCATTTCTAATTTATGCAAGAGAGTCATGCCTTGTTTTCATATACATTTTTTCTGAATTGGGGCTACTTGTAAGGCTCAGCACATTTGCAACAGTTGTATCAACCTGTTTCATCTCCAGATAGGTATTGTTAATTACTTAATCATCTGGTCTCATAAAATCAACTCTACTCTTCATTCATGTCTTTTGCTTATTGTAAGGTTTAAAGTTTTATGTGAGCTTTTTGCTTTATTTCTAAGGCAACCAAACACAATGATCAGATATGTTTAAGTTTCCAGTAAAATATTATTATTTGACTTGGTTATCTTGATCTTTGATTTATTTTGCACTTAGATTTGAGATAGGTACTTTAGCCTAGTTTTTATAATTGTTTTGTCTCATTACAGTAGAGAACTTCATCATACAATCTGGGTCCATTGGCCTATTAGCAAAGTATTTGGGGGTATTTTTGGTAAATGTGTATAGAGTTTTGTGTAAAGCTAATTGTGCTCCCATTTCTTCATTTTTTGAATATATAGTCCCAGGCTTTCCTAATGGGTTCCACAACTTCTCTATGGACCCCTCATCTTACCCTGCAGCCTGCCATGCCCCCATGAGTGGTCTAAGGCATTCTTCCCTTGGGGAGGACGCTACACATGCTCTTATTATCCCTGATGGGCAAGTAAGTATTATATATGAAATAGAACACTGCATCAATTAATACTAACTCTGCCAATTAATTTTAACTATGCCAATTAATGTTGGTATAGGACAGGGATCAGCAACCTGCAGTTCTGGAGCCGCATGTGGCTCTTTCATCCCTCTGATGCGGCTCCCTGTCGCCAGTCGGCTCCACAATTGATAGGGCTTTCGGTTAGGACAGGTAGAGGAAAAAGGAAGCAATGCTAGTAGGGGACTCTATGGTGGGGGAAACAGACTTCCAATTGGCAGGGGAAAAAGGATGCTATGCTAGGAAGAGGCTCTATGGTGCGGGAACCAGACTTCCGTTTGGCAGAGGGAAAAGGATGCCGCGCTAGGAGGAGACTCCATGGTGGGGGAATCAGGCGTCCAGTCGGCAGAGGATAAAGTACGCCGCACTAGGAGGAGATTCTATGGTGGGGGAGCTGGACTTCCGGCCAGCTCCAGAATTGAAGAGGGGACTTCCGGTTAGGACTTCTGTGGCTCTTTGAATGTTTAAGGTTGCCAACCCCTGGTATAGGAAAATAGGTACCTGTTCTTTTTTCACTTACGCAGCACTAAGTTTCTAACTTTGATTTTCAGGAAAAATTGTTTATTGAGAAGATGTATTCATTCCCAGTTATGAGAAAGTCACAATAATAATAATACCTTCTCATTGCACAGGGTATTGATCATTTGACCTCCATCCACCCTCAAATAAAAAAAGCTAGGATGGGTTTTCCATGACTGTGTACATTGTTTTCTTGATTAATCAAGAATTGGGGTGATATTGTCTTCCCCCCACCCCCCTGCATACAGGTAGTCCTTGTTTTAAGGCCACAATTGAGCCTCAAACTTCCACTGCTAAGTGAGACAGTTATTAAGTGAATTTTGCCCCATTTTACAACCTTGGTGTGGTTTTTAATGAATCACTGCAATTGTTAAGTTAGGAACATGGCTGTTAAGTGAATCTGGATTGATTTTGCTTGTCAGGAGGTCACAAAAGTGATCACATGACCCTGGGACACCGCAGCCATCATAAATACATGTCCGTTGCCAAGCATCTGAATCGGTGGGTTGCCCCCGGTTCGGATCGGTTCGCAATCCCGTTGCGAACCGGTAGTAAAGGTAAGTAGAACCCACCCCAATCTGAATTTTGATCATGTGACCACAGGGATGCTCCAATGGTTGTGTGAAAAGCTGTCATAAATCACTTTCTTCAGTGCCATTGTAACTTCAAACAGTCACTAAACAAATGGTTTTAAGTCAAGGACTACTTGTATAAGATTTGATTAGGTAACATAATATCGTGTGACAGGACAGGTGTGATCTGATAATGATTTTAAAAAGTATTTTCAGTCCGGGAACATTGTTAGAATTATTAATAACAGAACCCAAGGTTAAGATGGAACTCTTTCTTTTTAATATTGTTGCTGTTAAAGAACATCCTGTTTATGGCCTGACTAGGTGGCTCAGTGGCTAAGATACTGAGCTTGTTGATCAGAAAGGTCGGCAGTTCAAATCCCCTAGCATGAGCAGGGGGTTGGACTAGATGACCTCCAAGATCCCTTCCAACTCTTGTTACTGTTAAACTGTTTAAGCATTTTTAAATGCTGTGCAGATACTTATTAATCCTGTGCAGGATTTCTAGACAACATTTATTCTCAGCACCTGCTAATATATATATATATATTTTTTTTTTGCAGTCCCACACCTATGTAAACACAGCCAGTGGTGAAGATGATATAAGGGGCCACCATTGTATGCACTCCTTACCTGAAGTTCATCCTGCGATTGCTCATTCCAACCATAGCTGCTCCCTGGAGGATCGAAATCCCCAGGTTTACCTTCAGCCAGGAGAAGTGAAGTTTGTTTTAGGCCCAAACCTGGGTTATAGGCACAGGATGAAATGTGATGGCTACTGTCGACCCCACTGGGAGTGCTCAAGGCATTTCTGCACCCCTCACAACAACAACAACAACGATTACAAAGATGAGTGCCTCGCCCCCAAGTGTGTTTATGAAAACCTCAACGGTCTGCTGCCTTCTCGAGGAACCTTACTTCGTCACGGTAGCGGGCGCTTGAAAATTCCTCGTGAGGACCTGAATCCTGCCAGTTGCTCCCATCGCCGGACCACCCTGCTGCACTATGAGAACCTACCGTCACTGCCTCCTGTGTGGGAGTGCCAGCCCCTAAGACGGGGCCAGGATGATGAGGACTCTGGTGATGCAATGACACCTTCCTCCACTGGTTATCCAGAAATTGAAGAAGATGACCCTTTACGAAATTACATGAACTCAGAAAGGGTTGCCCTACATGGAGGCATGCGTAGAGGAGGTTGCTTGCAACGGCGCCGCAGTTGTACCCCGAGCGTTTTCAATTTCGACTTCTGCCGGCCCTATTTGGAGCAGCCAAGGCAGCTCAATTATATCCAGGTAGAACTGCAAGATGATCCTTGTAAAGGGCGCCAAAGCATACCAGTCCCCCATGTCCCATGTGCGGTTGCCCATCCAGCCCACAGGACCAATTCCTATGCGGTCATTGACCATAAAAAGACAGCAGCCATGTCCAGCTTACAGAGAGCACTGCCTAAGGATGATGGGACTTCCAGGAAAACACGACATAACAGCACTGACCTGCCTCTGTAAGAAGAACATTCAACCCAAGCACCTCATTGTGGCTTTTGTATCTGCTCTTCAACAAATCATGTTACATAACTGCCATTTTCCCATTGTGCCCCCCTGTTACTCAGTGTGAGTCACTGGAATAGTTTCATCAAGCTAATTTAAGAAATGTAGCCTATCTGTGCCTCTTCCGAGCCTCCTATTCCTCTACCATGTACTTTCTGAAGCCCTGCCATGTGCTTGATTACTTGACGGGGCTGATGGCAGGGTGGGTAATAGTACAGTTGGAGTGTGAAGGCTAAGGAAACTCTTGTTTAATTTTTATTTTTGAACATACACAAAATATATTTATTTTCAAATTTTGCATTAACTTATTTTTCAGAGATGCTGGTATTTGTTTGTCTGTTTGTTTATTTATTCAAGTTAAAGTGCCCAGTAAATGTAACATTGAATTGCTTTGCAATTAATTCTTTTCTCCATGAGAATCAGAAAAGCTCTAAGAGGGGAGGAGTTGTATCATTTTTTAAAACAAATACAAGGCTAGCCATCAAAAGGCAGAACAGAGGAGGAGATTCAGACTGTCAGAAAAAGTAACCCATGCAAGAATGGTTCTAAAACCATTGTGGTCCCAGGGGTGATTCAACATGCTGACAAAGCTGACCTTCCTAGCTCCGATTTCTGACTGGTGGTATATCTCATAATATGCCTCTCTCCACCCTCAGAGTAGGAAAAACCGTGGAACTATAAATTTCCCTAACAAATCCTTGGTGAATGTTTTTAACTGTTGCTGTTTGCCTAACAGTTTGGGATCGTCTCTAAGAAGTTAATATTCTGATGTTATGGTACTACAATAGTTCGCTAGAATCACATAAAAGCTTTCCTTCTTCCATTTTACTTTATTGCCTCAAATCCAACACTCTAATATTGTCCCAGACATACTTCAATATATCAGTGAAATCCAGGCCATTATTTGCAAATAATTGATTTTGGGGGGGCGGGGAGGGGGGAACATTTTGAGCAACCTTAAGGACAAGCAAAGTTTTGCTTATTTGGGACTTTCACATTTATGTTACGGTTAGTAATAAACCTACAATAGGGAGTATACATCTGGTGGCCATTATTTATTTTGTGCAGCTGTTGGCCTTCTCAGAGATGGCCCTTCCAGGAATAACTGTATTTGATCTAAAGTTCAGTCAGTTTATTCTGAAAACCTGTTCCACTGAAGCCGTTTTTAAAATTCACTGTATGCGAAACAAGCATTATAGAATTGGGGATTAAGATTTGGTAGAAAGTTATAATTTCTTTGCTTTCCTTTCCAAATCTCTTAAGAACTGTCCTTGTCTAACAGTTTTGCAAAATGCTTTTTGTTATTTATTTATTTTTGGAAAATAGAATGTTTATCTGTTTGGTTTTGAATTTCTCATGTAATTCCATCTCGAGTCCAAATTAATACTAGTATTTCAAGTGATAAGCTCAGCAAAACCAATCTAAAGTATTCATAATTTGGATAAATATTAATTCTAACTTTTACATATAGATTTACACCATTAAAACCTTACCCAAACAACATAGTGCAGAAAAAGTTTTAAAAACTGCTTGAAATTATGTTTATTATTAATTATTGCTCACCATATTGTCATGAAGCAAATGCTTTGATACTTGTAGAATATCCCAGATTTAAGCAGGAGTAAGAAGACTTAAATAATGAATATCATGCTCCAGCATGTCCTTTATCTTTCAGCTTCTGCTTACCTTCCACTATTCCTCTGCAGTTCTACTGTAAACTCATAACTAAAAGAGAGAGAAAAGGAACAAGAGAAGAAATGGTTTCATAGAGAATCTTGCTTCCATTACATATATTTCATGTCAAAGAGGAGTTTATCAATTAATGCATTTAGATTTAGGACTGACTTTTATATGATAACTGTATATAGGATGTGATCTGGAAGGTTTTGAAAGTGGCTGCTATTTTATATGGTTTCAGTATCACAAGCAGGTATAAAAATGTCAAATTTCAGCATTTTTCCCTCTATTCCTTTCACTGCAGTCTTATAGACCATGTTCTAAAATTCATAGCTGTAAGGGGAAGATAGACAGATTTGGGTAGACATCAAGATTTCCTCACTGTGGCCCGTTGTCATATAGTTAGGATTGTCATGAAGGCATTGCTTTGATGAGTGATTTTGTATTCTTGCTGTATAAATTGGGCTATTTCTGATTTTAACCAGTTACTATAAAATCATTTTGCTTATTCAGCACTGCCTTTTTAATTGTTGTGCATAATATGTTGTAATTTATTAGTAGACGTTAAAATTAGGTGGTCTTTTATGACCATTGACCTTTGTGGTGTTCCAGTGTCTAATCAAAATCTGTTAGAATTAATAGAAGAGTTTCTCTGTCCTCTGTTTGTACTTTAGATCAACTCAGTCCAAATACATCATCATCATCATCATCAGATTTTTATTCTTCAATTTTTATATATAGCTCAAGGTGGTGAACTGATGCTCCTGGCTTCTAATTTTCCTCACAACACACCTGTGAGGTGGATTGGGCTGAGAGGGAGTAACCGGCCCCAAAACACCCAGCTGGCATTCATGCCTAAGGGAAGACTAGAATTCTATTTTCTAGCCCAGTACCTTAACCACTACACCAGACTAGCTCTTGAGCCATTATGGGGAGTTTCAGTATGCAGAATTCTTCCAGTGTCATCATTTGCCTTGCCATCAGTTTTACTTCACAAATCCACATGTTGTTCATTCTAGAACATCAAATGAAGGCTTCTATATAACTGATGATGGGAAGGCTGGAGTCCAGAGGACTCAAGCAGCTTTTTGTCATCACTCAGTATTGATCACAAAGCTATGTATCTTAAACATTCAGTTAAAATGGAAAAAAATGGTTTACTTTTTAGGTGTAATGGAACTTAAAGGGTAATTAATTAAACAGCATTGATTAGAAAGGAGGATGTGGGATAAAATAGGGAGCTCTCGTTCAAGGATTATGTTTATTCTGAGAGGTATTTTTAAAAAACTTAGAATACTTTCCGGTTGCTATTGTCTCAGAGTCAGCTAAAATTACACTTTTGTACCCTGATGCCCTAGAAGTATGGTTTAGTTTTAAGTGCTAAGAAATGTGTTTACCATGGTACAATTAAATCAGTGCCAAAAATAAGTGTTTTATCTAATTGAGCCACTATATGGTTTCACTGTTTGACTTTGGTTTAGTTTTTGGATATAGCCATTTTGATTTTTAAATCAGGTTTATGGCTTAGTGTACTTTATGAATTCAACCACTTTCGGCTTAGTTACTAAGCCATATTTAAACAGTAACTTATTGTGTTATGTGGATCTATCCATTGAATGAAAAGTGATGAAACATATGAAACTGGTTGCCTGCTAATGTCTTTCTGCAGTTTACATCCATTCCTCATTTAATCGCTAAATATGTTCAATGCACTGTACCTTATTTTATTACTATTTATTACTGTTATTTTTCAGAGATCTTTAAGGAGCATTTTCTATGTGCCAAGAATGGTGCTTTTGCCAAGCCTTTGTGAAGGTTAGAAAAATTCCAACTAGAAGACATTCTTAATAGGCAGATGAAAAGCAGACATGCAGTTGGTGTACTAGCCTCTCATTGAGTCAGACTGATAGCCTCCATCAACCTTCAGGGGAACAGGCTGATTGAATTGGTCTGCTGCAAGCACCTGATGAACTCTTTTTGGTTTCTAATGGTGTTTGGGTAGAGACCTAACAGGCAGCTAGCTCTGTGTGGCATTTGTTCAAATCTGTCTAATGGTAGTAACAGTTTTTTAATTAATAATTTTGTTAATAGTATTTATTCGTTTTAATGGCTTGGATTTTTTTGAGTATTTTATAGGTGTTTTATTGTGTTTGTTGTAAGATGCCTAGAGTTGTAAAAATAAGGCAGCATACTAATAGTGTTAAATAAATAGATAATCGTTCAGCAATCCAGTGTCTCCTTTACAGGTGGTGCTTGTGCTGTTTCTTCATCAGCTCTGCACCCATATGATTGCACCTTGACATTACTGGGGGAAACAGAGCTGATTAATTCTGAGCTCAGCAGCAGGGCAGGAGGAAGTGCTGCAGATGCTGAAACTGAAGTGATAGAGCTGAGAGGTGGGAAATTTTCCTTTAATGGGAATTCTTGCCTCATCCTGGTTCCTGAGTTTTCCATTCTCCCTTCTTGGGTTAAGGAACTATGGCACTACAGTGCCTTTTAAATCAGTCTTAAAATACATAAAGAGGCAGTTTTGTAGCCGCTGTCCTTGTAGCTGATTTTATTTTTGTATGTCAACAGAAACAGTGTAAAGTTTGAGTGAAGGGGTAAGTGCATTGTCTGGCTACATATATATTTTTTTGCCCTCTCCTATTGGTGAGGAAGACCATTGCCAGAATGCTGGCAGTGAATTTCAGGACATTGAATTCCTTGGGGTGAGGATGGTGTACAAAAACGATTTCTGATATTCTCAATAGAAGTTTGCTCTTATTCTCACCTGCTACGTGTGTAACATTATATTTAACACGGCCAAGCAAGCAAAAGTAAAAATGTGACTTTTCTGGCAATAAGTCACAAGCCTCACAGAGTTGGAGAGTTGATAAACATTATGCTTTCCTATCTCTGAATATATTCGTGCTCAGCACTTCATAAAGTTATTTATCTGCTTTTAATTGTGCAATTGGAAAGAATCTGGTGTTATTGGAAAGAATAATTCAACAAGTTCCATAATAAATTGCTATTCAAAACAACCACTACCTCCAAACTAATTTGGATACCACCCTTTTTTCCCTTCATGAAAACTCCAAGCCATTAACGACCGTCACAGTCAAAAATCTAGCACATTTCTAAGCATAGCTGTACTGTTACTGCAGTAGTAGCTACATATTGAGCCTTTCTAGAGAAAAAAAATAATGTGAACTTAAAGAAGACTCTTGTTTCATTGCATCCTTAATAACATTTCCATGTTAGCCATCTTTTAGGATCAGCACATTAAATATATTTTGTTTGCAGCCAAGGGACTGTTGTAGCCTAATTTTCTTTAGGCTTCAGTGTCAAAATGGAGTATTTAGTTCTCTTGGATAGTTAAAGTAAAATAGATCAGTATGTACTTCATAGCCGCTTTTAAAAACATTGCCAATGAGTATGTCTATTTACAGCTACACTGCAACCAGCAGCTTTTAAAGGTTAGAGCAGGTACTGTAAACTCAATGAATGGAATAATGATAATGAAATACCTACTCGTCTCTCAAGAACATTATGAAGATTAAGGTTTGAGTATCATAAATGCCAAGAAACATTAGTACTGTACTGAACTTATGTTGCACATCAAATAGAATCCCATATTAATTGCTATTGTGTTTTGTGTGAAAGGGCATTATCTCTAATCCAATTCCCCAATTCCTTATCTCATAATGGTTATCTGCATCTTCTGATTGGTCTCTGGGGAATCTTGTTGTACATAAGATAATATGTTTTATTTATGTTTTAATATTTCTTTAAAAGTTTTCATAGTTTTAAGTCCTTCCATGAGAGTTCATCTTTTCAAGCATTTTGGATTCTGTAACAGCAGGGAACGGTTGCCTCTTTGCCTAGCGATAGAAGAACGTGAATCTGCCCCCATTTTCCCATTAGGGGAGGTAGGGAAGAGAGAACTCTATATAGTAAAATGTAACCCGCTTATGATGATAGTTTTATTTTCCTGGAACTTTCAGTCCTCAGATATATGAAATACTTGAAATGTTGCAAATGGTCCTGTTCTTGAATTAATATTAAAAAGTAACCAAATTGGAGTCTGGGATTGTGAGACAACAACTTTCAGTGGGTAGTTGTTTTTTTCTTTCTTTCTGTAATTCATTTTGAAAAGCCTGGCTCTAGCTAGGTAGATCTCAATGTCTTACATTATGCAGTTTTCTTCATCGTTAATTGTACTGATGATTTTGCTGATTGTTTCTGACCTGGCAGAAAAAC